GGGAAGGTTGGCCAATGAGTCCATCAGATAAGAAGTCCTAGTAGATTATTACATGGTTTGCTGACTACAGCCCTAGTGGGTTACATGGAAACACCAAAGACAAAATATCCGAAGCAATCCCAAGCCAAAAAAGCAATGTTGGAGGTATAATACCCAAATATAAAAATATATTACAGAGTTATAGAAACACAAACAGCATGGTGTTGGGATAAAAACAACATATAGACCAATACAGACCAATGTATTACCGTAGGTGACTCAGAAATAGACTCACACAGCTGCAGCTATCTGACACTCAAAAAAGGCACCAAACACATAGGCTGGAGGAAAGATGGCATCTTTAATAAATGGCGCTGGAAATACATCTATTTACAGGACCTTGAAAGTTGATCCTTATCTCTCACCCTGTAAAAAAATCGATTAAAAAATGGAACAAAGTTGTAGGAATAAGACCTGAAACTTTATTTTATTTTTGGTACTGAGGATCGAACTCGGGTCCTTGTGCTTGCAAGGCAGGTGGCAGAACCACTGAGCTAAATCCTTGGCCCTGACCTGAAACTTTTTGTAAGGAAAAACCAGAAACAAAGTCTTTGTAAATAGGGAGTGGTGGAGGGGTTTAAGGGAAGGCAGGGGAATGGGGAAAAAAAATAAGAACCAAGACCTGTCATGTAAAGGTACAAATTCCCTATGGTGAGTGCCATCATATCGCATACCTGAAATGTACCAATAAACTTAATGAAAAAAAAAGCCTATTTTTCCCAGACCGAAGGATACCTCCCTCCACTGCTCTCTTTCTTGCTCTCTCTTCTCTCTCTCTCCCTTCCTCCTCCCTCCATTCTCCGTTCTCTTTCATATCTATAGACAGTAAGGTAACAAGACCCTGGGCTGGCTTTGCTGAATAGCTCCTCTCAGCAAACCCTGACTCCAGAGTGGAATAGTCTCTGAAATCTGAATGAGAACTATTTAGCATTTTGGTTTTCAGCTGTTATCCTAGTTGACAGATTGGAGAATATGGAGCTTATACTTTTATAAAAGTCTGTGAACAGGAGAGGAGATGTAATAAAAAGAAAGCAATGCTCCTGAATGTGCTTGTTCAATTGAACTTTGACCTCTGTTATATGCTGGACGTTTTGTTAGAGATTTTGTTCAGAATGTTTCTATTAAACAAATGAAAGTAAACCCATCCCTCAAGGGTTTGCCCTCTTAATTCCACTGTGCAAATCAATTAATATTTTCCTTTCATAATGGTAAAATTTTGCTTCACAAGTTTAGGGTAGGAGGACTCTGAAAAAGGAGATAGAAGAGGACATCAGAAAATGGAAAGATATCTCCTGTTCCTGGATAGCAGAACCAATATAATCAAAATCGCTATACTTCCAAAGTAGTTGTATAGATTTTATGTCATCTCAATCAAAATAGCAATAGCATCCCTCACAGAACTAGAGAAAGCAATCCTAAAATTCACATGGAACCAGAAGAAACCTAGAATAGCAAAAGCAATTCTGGGCGACATGAGTAAGACAGAGGGCATCACAATCCTGGACTTCAAGTTATATTACAATGCTACAGTGATAAAACCAGCATGATCTTGGCAAAAAATAGACTCATCGATCCATGGAACAGAGCAGAGGCTACAGAGACAACTACAGGTAAATTTATCCTGGTCTTTGAGAAAGGGGCCAAATACTTTTGCGGGAGGAAAGATAGCCTGTTTAACAAATGGAGCTGGGAAAACTGGCTTTCCACATGCTGAAGAGTAAAACTAGACCCATATCTCTCACCATGAAGTAAATATTAAAGCATTTAATCTGCTGGAAGACAAAGTAGGTAAAACTCTTGAAGACATAGGTGTAGGCAAAGACTTCCTGAGCAGAACCTGGGTTGCACAAGAAATCATACCAAAGACGAACAAACGGAATCACGTGAAATTAAAAAGCTTCTGCATAGGAAAGGAAACTGCCTACCAATGGAGTGAAGAGACAACCTATAGAATGGGAAAAATGTCCAGCAACTCCTCAAGGACCAATGTCTAAAATAAATAAAGATCGCAAAAAAATTAGACCCCCTGAAGTTAAAGACTGAGTCAAAAAATAGTTATCTGAAATGAATAGACAGTTCTCAAAAGAAGAAGTACAAAGAGGTAATAAGTACGTGAAAAACTCTTCAACATCACTGGCCATTTGAGACATGCAAATTAAAACAACACAGATTCCATCTCACTCCAGAAAGAATGGCTACCACCAAGAAATCAACCAACAGCAAGTGTTGGCCAGGCTACGGGGAAAAAGGAACTCTTCTTCATTGTTGGTGGGAGCGTAAACTGCCATAGAACCACCACTGAAATAAGAAAAACTAAAACTGGAAATTCCATTTGATCCAGCTATTATTCCCTTTCTCGTCATCTTCCTGAAAGAGTTAGAGACATCATATCACAGTGATGTATGCACACCAATGTTTCTAGCAGGGCAACTCATAATAGCTAAGTCTTGGAAGCAGCCTACATGTCCATCAATAGACAAATGAATAAAGAAAATGATATTAACACACAGTGGAGTACTATTATGCCACAAAGAAGGATAAATGTGAATCATTCATAGGAAAATGAATGCACCTCAAGACTATAATGTTAAATGAAATAAATCAGACACGTAGGTTTGAATATCACACATATAAATACTTGTAAAGTACAAAATAAATACCAAAAATGTACCAATAAACTTAATGAAAAAAAGCAAGCAAGCAAAAAAAAAAAAAAAAAAAAAACCCA